AGAGAGAATGAGAGAGAGTGAGAGAGAGAGAGAGAGAGCCCTCAAGCTCCTGGCCTCTTTTCTACTCTGCTGACATTCACTGACACAGAACAAAGTGATGAGTTAGGGCTAATTTTATCCCTTCCTGGATGTGCAATGAGGAGAATTACAACATCTACTCTGAGAGCCAATTCTGAGATTAACGAAGATGATGGATGGCTAGGGCCTGGCACACAGCAAGCACGCAAATGATTGTTTCTGTCATCCCTGTTATTCCCGCCTTCATGTGAACAGTGCTCTGCAAGCTGCTCTGACTGAATCCCTGCATTCAGCCTTGATGTGCAAATGGCATGCGCTGTCATCATTATCTTACAGAGAGGCTGAAGTTCAAAGGGTTGTGAGGGATGGTTTCCCCCACACACACCCCAGCTTAAAAAGTGGCAGAGAAGTAATCCAAAGTCCGGTGTGTCTGGCCTTTAAAGTTTGTTCTTGCTATGAGATACATGTCTTCCTTGAAATTACCTAAAACTCAAGTTGGGGGAAATGTTCAGCATTCACTGCCCCTCTAGAAAGTAATGTGAAAGTGTATCAAAATCTTATAAAATGTCTTCAAAAGATGACTGGAATTATGAAGTCTAAAATAGTATTATGGATCTTTGGACCATAGAGATGAGGGTAGCGTTTCTTGTCACTTATAAGCTTAATTTCTAGCCTGGAGGCCACCCCTTTCCAGACTGCAGAGTGTCAGAAAGTACAATGGGTACATGGACCATCAGAAGCCAGAGAGATCCAAGAGCCCTTGATTCAGCTGTTCTCCTTCAAGATAAAACCAGGTCCTTTGGGACAGATGTGACACTTCCTAGAAAAGGAGGGGTATTAACGGCTTCTGCCTGAGTGTGTAAGCACGGTCCTGATCAAGTCTTTATTGACCAGCATTGGCATCCAATTCACCTCCCATATTTTAAAGGTGGCTTCTGTCATTTCCTTGCTACTTTCTCATCCACCTTGTGTTTTCCACATCTGAAATAATATATAAACATGCAAGAAGGACGGTATAGAGGAGGGGTTCTACTTTCTCATCCACCGTGTGTTTTTCCACATATTTGAGATAATATGTAAGCATGATGGCAGGACTGTATACAGTAGGGGTTCTAGTTCCCTTGGCACTGTTGTCTGGGGCCCAGATACAGGCTCTTCAAGAGCAACACAAACATGATCTAGATAGTGGTGTTTTATTGTTACTTTTTTTTTTTTAATATGAGACTCTCTGGTTAAAGATGACAAAACCACGGTGAGAGCCACCCCGCCATGTTCCTCCCTGAAAGCCACAGCACAATAATAAAACTTAGAAAGAAATTCCAGCCTAAATGACAATCCATTATGAACATGGGATAGGAAGTTAACAGAGAAAATGAAATCCACCACCAAGTGTGCAGCTGTGGCACAAACGGAGACTACAGAGGTAACAGAGCCTGGAAGAGAGCTGGCACACAGTAGGCACTCAGTGGCCATCACTCACGAAGAAGACTCATTTTCTTTGAGCAGAAGGACTGCAGAGTTTGAGTCACGTTAGAAAGAAAGGCATGAGTGGAGGTCTTTGCTGAGAGAGAGAGAAAGGATAGAAGGGTATGCAAAGGGAAGGGACATCACGCCAAAGCCGTGAACTCAGACACTGAGGCAGAATCAGCTAGCACAAGGTGAGAAGGAAACCTGAATGATATGCTAGGTGATTTGAGGATCAGCTCCTCACCCTAACCAGATCCTTCTACCCCCTCATGCCCCAAGCCTCCTGTCTAAACCATCTCCTTAGGCCTCCATCCAAGGCTGCAGAAGGCGTGTGGCTGATGTTCAGCTCTGACAAAGGTCCCATTCTCTCTGGCTAGCCACAGCTGGAGCCCATGTGTGGCAGCCTGTGTGTGGCTGGGAGCCAGGAGGTCCCCATCCAGCCCAGCACTGGCAGTGATTTGACATATAAACTTGAGCAAGGCATCCTCCCCTCTGCAGCCCGGTGTGTTCCCTTCGGAAAAATAGCATCAACCACACTGCCCTGTCACACACACACCCACGCTGGGTGGCATGCGGCTCTGCTGAGTTGCAAGTGATGGGAAACTTCCTTGTGAATCACCGTAAATACTAATCACTGTGGCTATTAGTACCATTATCATCAGCAGCTATTCCTTGGTTCACATGCCAAATGCCCTCCACTCCCTGTCTCCTCCTGCCCTTCTGGAATGTGACTTTAAAGAATAGAAGGCTCCCAGCAAGCATGCCCTTCCCTTCCCAATTCCTCTCTCTTCTCCAAGATAGTCAACCTTTTGGCACCTGGTATTGAATCAAGACCCCTCACTTTCACACCAATTCTGACCGCTCCCCATTTCCGATCACTCCGATGAAGTAGGAAAAGCCTTGGACTTGGTGAACGATTTGGGACACCTGTTTTCCCCTCTCTCAACTCAGTTGCCTCCTCTGACAACGGAAGTGAGAATGCTACAAAGCACCCTTACAGTGCTGCCTTGAGAACTCCCGAGAGCTCACAGGGATCCAGTCTCTGAAAACAGCCAGCCCCTGACACTCATGCGGCCTTGGCTGTCTGAAACCCTTCCATGTGTTCTCTTTGGATCGACGATTGCTCTCTCTTTCCTCTTGGCTCCTCTTAAACTGTAAATGCTCCTGAGAAAGGGGGACACATACCATCATCCCCACGAGTTAACAGAGGCGGAATAGATGGCGCCTCCCGGTCCAAAGTGAAATGATGAAGACCAACACCGAGAAAGTGTGTTTGATGAGAAGGACCAAGCGTGAAAGATGTCTTCCGGCTTACTTACCTGCGACTTCCTCCCTGGCCTACTGACCTCTTTGCAGTCCTAATACCTTTGGTGTTAAAGGGAAGGGCCGTCCTTAGTCCAGGCTCTAGATGCCAGGGGCCTCCAGCTAGGGCTCTGATACAGGGCTCTAAATCAGAGCATCAGGCGCCATCCTGTGGCCACTAGGGAAAGTGCGGAAGTAAATAAATGGTGAGAAAAGGAAACAGAGAGGTGCTTGCGGGCTGCCGCCTGGAAAGAGGAATGGGTTTGGCGTCCGCCATTCCTTACCGGTCCCCTTCAGGAAGTGCCCTATTCCAGTCTCTCACACACGCAACTCTTCTGTCTGGCCCCGTTATTTTCTCACTGTGTGCCCTCAAGCTAGAACCTTGTGTGCTCTAGGATTCGCTTTCTTTAATTTTAAACTTGAGGGATTGGAAAAGGGGAGATCTCGTGCCAGGTGCTGCCCGCGGCATGCTTGGTTAGCCAATCATGATATCTAAGTAAGGTCCAGATCACCTCAGCTCCTGTGCCCAGCCACTCCTGACCCATGGCTGGTCACAGAAAGTACAGTCATATCGTTTAAGGTTAGGCTCAAAGCTCCCCTCCATCCCTCCTTTCCTGCCCACAACACTATCCTTTCTTCTGACACGCTCTTTCTCTGTACAACTATACACAGGGGACTTCACTCGCCTCCAGCCCTGAGCTCCCTCAGCTCAAGTCCTTCACTCACTTCAGCCCTGGGCCGAAGAGCCGCCGCTCTGAAATCAGTCAGCCTCGCTGCAGCCCTGTGCGGTTGAAGAATCGTGTTCCCCTCAATAGCTGAACCCCACGTCTGAATCCTGGGAACCTATGGATAAACCTGCGATTCTACACGGCAAAGGAGGTTCCTACAGCAATACAACCGCACGTAGAGACAGTAGAGAGACTATGAGCCAAGGGATTTGGGAGGCTTCTAGAAAGCAGCCTTCTCCAGGAAGAACACAGCCCTGCCAACCCATCTTAAGGTTCTGTCTTCCAACTCAGTCTTGCCTTCAAGGCCCTCGATTTGCTACAGCAGCCATAGCAGACTGATAATATGCCAGTTCAGCCTCTCAGGAGATAGGCAACTTTGGGAAATTGCATGCCTCCACTTCCTCTTGTGTAAAATGGGAGTTGTGACGGCAATGATTATTTTTAGCATTTATTTTTATGCTTATTTATTTGTTTATTTATACCGGAGAGGTGGAGGTCAGAGGACAACCTGCGGGACCTGGTTCTCTCCTTTTACCATGTGGGGTCTTGAGGACGAGTTGCCGGCTGAGGCATTTTGTCATCTAAGATAATTATCTCACAGGGTTGTCTGGATTAAAAAAAAAAAAAAAATACAACGGCAATACTCAGAAAGCACTTAAAGCCATATTCAAGACTGAGCATGTTACCTATTATTATAAGAATAACGCCTGACTACCATTAACGACATACCTAAAATGTCACAGCGTCAGGTACCTTAGCATAAATTCCTAACCACAGCAACTTTCGTGGGTAATGATTTCTACCCCAGCTTTCGCAATGACGAAACAAACCCAAAGAAATTTACCTGAAGCTCACTCTGGAACTGCAGGCATTTTAAGTTTTGGTGTCCCGCATGTACGCGGGGCGCTAAAGTTTGTGTCCCTTGCTAGTCGAGGGGTTTGTGCTGCTCAGCTTTGTTTCTTGCGGGAGTGGCAGAGGGAGAGCCAGAAGCTCAGAAGCGCCACCAAGTGCCAGAGGCAGATGCAATCCAGGCGGAGCGCATCTCTCATCCCCCACTGCTCAGGGGCTCAATCAAGGCTCCCACCTCCCCAGCCAGGTCCTAAGCGGCCTTTGAGCCACATTTTTGGCGCCAGAAGACAGGAACAGCAAGAGAACGAAGTGCTAGAGGATGGGGGATTTGCTCTCTCCCCGCGTCCTGCATAACGGGCCATCTGTTCTGGGCTGAATAAACAAGGAACGGGAAGCAGCGGCAGGCCCCCTACCCCCAGCCCCTGAACTGCACAATGCGCCTTTCTCCAAGAGGACGCCGCCCGGGCGCCTGCAAGCACAGTCCGTCTGAACTCCCCTCCCCCTGGCAGCACAGCAACAGCCACAAACCGACCCGTGGAAACCGGTGCAGGCTTTTTTTTTTTTTTTTTTTTTTTAAAAAAAAAAAAACAAAAACAAAAAACAAAAAAGAAATCCAACAAAGAGGCGGGCGCGCGAGTGTAGCACTCCTTCCCCACCAGCACCTCCCCATCCCCTCACCCCCTAAATCTGGCTTGTGGTCCAGGCGAGGCCAGCTCGAAGGCAGCGCTTGGGGCCCGCCAGCGCCCCCTCCCGGACGGTCCCGGCTCCGGGGCTCGGGCTCTGTCTCGCGCGGGTGCTCGGAGAGCCGGCCACCTTCACTTCCGGTCAGCCAGCTGGTTCTCCAGCTCTTCCAGGCGCTCTGTCAGCTGGACCAGTGAGCAGTTAAGGAAGATTGGCGCTCAGAGACCCCTTCACCTGCCCCTCAGCCTGCGTCTCCAGCACCAAAGGATATGGTTCTGCGTCAGGCTATCCAGCGCCCCCAGCGTGCGGCCCTGGAACTCCACGAGGCTTTCGCATTCACAGGGGCTCCGAAGCTCCGTCCCGGCACTGATGCCCTCCTCTGCAAACAGAGCACCAAGATTGAAGGGAAAGAGAAGCCAAAGGAAGCCCATCGGGTGTGCCCTTGACCTACTGATACACCTCCACCGAATAGGTAGTTAGTATGTACAGGCTTTGGATTTTAGACCTGGCCTGAGACCCAGCCACGGAGCACAGTCCTGGGAAAAACTCAGCCCCTTTAAGTCTTAATTCCCGCATCCGTAGAATGGGTGTAATGAAAGAAGCTGCCCATTGGTGGTTGTGAGGATTAGGAGAAATTCTCAAACCCCGATGCTCGCTGGGATGACTCCAGAGTGTGCTAGCAGGCGGATTCTGGTTCAAAATGAGGACGCATTTTTAATAAGCTCCTAAACTATGTTGATACCGAAGTCCAAGGGTTTCACGGTCGTTAGAAAGAGTCCAAAGTCATGAGCATTCTCCAAATGAAGACGTAACAAACCGCAGAATTGTTCTGTATCTGTCCTGCACGATTCGCTAGCCACAAGCCATCTGGAGCTAGTCAGCACTTGAAATGTGTCTGGCGCAGCTGAAGAACTCAGTTTTTATTTTGTTTTTGTTTTGCAATCAGTTATGATTCGTTATACACATGTATCAACTGAATGCCATACTGCCACACTGCCTAGAAGCTGCCAAGCACAGCTCAACCCGTGTGGGGCATTTCAAGTAGACCAGCATTCCTCAAGCTGTGCTCCATGGACAAGTCCTGCTAGAACAACCTAGGAATATGTCATAAAGGCAAAGTATCAGGCCCCATCCCAGACCTACTGAGTCCAGACAAAGCCCAGCAATATGTGATTCCATTGATTCCTATGAAAGTAATGTTTAAATTATGGATCCAAGCCAGGTGTGGTGCCTTGTGCCACCAAGGCACAAGCCAGGTGTGTGTCTTTAATTCCAGCACTGAGGAAGCAGAGGCAGGAGGATCTCTGTGAGTCTGAGGCCAATCTGGTTCTAGGACAGCCAAGGCTACACAGGGAAACCCTAGATAGATAGATAGATAGATAGATAGATAGATAGATAGATAGATCCAAGTTTATCTCCATACACATTTCAACATCTGAAAGTGGAATACAGTTAAACATTGTTGCCTATGTTTTCTTAACAGTACATAAAATAATGGTGAATCTTACCAGAGACAGCCATTACTCTAAATCCAGGCCACTTTATTTTTTTAATTATATGTGTGTGTGACACGTGTGTGAGTGCATACCACAGCACTCATGTGGAAATCAGGTAGCAGCCTTTGGGAGTCAGCTCTCTCCTTCCATCTTTTTGAGGCAGGGTCTCTCTGTGCTTTTGTCTATGTACGCCCAAGCTAGCTTGGCCTGCAAGCTTCCAGCTGCTTCTCCTGTAGGGACGCTGGGTACGGACAGATGTGAGCCATCACATCAGGCTTTTTGTGAATGTACACCAGGACCAAACTCAGGTCGCCAGGCTTGCTTGGCAACTGCTTTTACGTGCTGTGCCATCTCACCAGCTCCCGTTTTTAATATCATGGGTAATAGCACAATTCTTAGCACTGGGCCTTCACATAAAGTTGCTATTATGAGTCAAACTCTCCTCCTCGGCAAACTGCTTGTGTCATATTTCTGATGGTCTCATTAACACTCCCAAAATGATCACTTCTGACTTTCGAATGGTAGAAACCGAGGGTCACAGAAGGAAGAGGATCTGCCTGAGCTTGTATAGTTGGCCAGTGGAGAGCCTTAACCAGAGAGCCCCAACTTGCCTCAGAAAGCTAAAGCTGGCGGTAACTTCAGCATCCTTCCTCTCACAGAAGAGGGTACGGTAGGAGGTGCGGGGTGTTAAGAGAGTTATCCAAAGTCCATTGTAGATGAAAGAGTCAGGACAGGAAGGGTTAATTGTTAGAGTTGGGGGTAGGGCAGGAAGCATATTCAACTACAGAGCCTCTGCTCTGCACAGCCCTGCTGGCCCACCTCCATGGGCAGTGCCTGGCACACTGTAGGCCTGTGCTAGAATCTAAAGACCCAGTGGACAAAATCAAGCCCCGCCCCCAAGGAACTCTGTCCCCTATAAGGTCCAGCTGTACACACACACACACACATCTGGATCCTCCCCCCAAGACCAGATGTGTTACAGCAATGGCCTTTTTGGCCTATGTCCCCCAGAAAGCACAAGCCACCGTGTTAAAACCCTGTCTCGTCACTCACCAGGTCCATAACGTTGAATCCCAACTAGTTGGGAGAGCTATATTTGGTTCCACTTATGAATGCTAAATTTGGCTTTTTTTTTTTTTTTTTAAGTTTCCTCTCGGGCTGGAGCGATGGCTCAGTTTAAGAGCACTGGCCACTCTTCCAGAGGACCCAGGTTCAATGCCCAATACCCACATGGTGGTTCACAACCATTTGTAGCTCCAGTCCCAGGGGATCTGGCCTCCACAGGCACCAGGCACCTACCGTGCTACACAGACATACATGCAGGCAAACGATGTACATAAAATACAATAAAAAAAATTTTAAATAATAAAGCTGTCTCCAATTATTCCAGACACTGCTACTTTGAGGGACAGATCCAGAGAGTCATTGTCTCTGTCGTACACACTTGAGGGTCTGATCCACTGTCTGGGGCTGCGCTTTTGACAAGCTACGGTAAAGGGGCACACCTGCTCTGGTCCGGGCGTTAAATAAACACCAAGCTCGGTGAAGACAGCCGTAGCTGCTGAAGTGCTGAGGACCAAGGTTATCTATTGGAGGCTAGGTAACAAAGAGCACAGAAGCCCCAGGGAGAGAGGCGCTCACCCGGGCAAATGCTGCCCTTGAGATTCTCCAGCAGGTGCGTCATGGTGCTGAAGTCCGGAGAGTAGGACACGTGCAGCTCCGACGGTTCTGATGCGATCTCACGCAGCTCTTCCTCCACGGCCTTGCCCACGCCCACAGCATACATGACGATGCCTATAGGGCCCAGGCACTCAAAAGAGAGCTCCGAGGCTCTCCGGAAAACTGCTTCCCCGCCTCCACTCCAACCCCACACCGGCCCATCCCTTCTCAAACCGACCTTCTTCCTTGGCGCGAGCTGCCCACACTGAAATGTCATCCTGAGAGCGGCCATCAGTGAACACCAGGCCCACGCGAGGCACATTGAGGTCGCGAGGCCGCGCGCCCTGCGCCTCTGAGAAGCTGTGCTCCACCATGTGCCGAAGGGCCAGCCCTGTCATGGTGCCGCGCTCCATGTACTCCACGGCCAGAACCGCCTGCTTCACCTCAGCTGCGGTGCCATAGCGGCCCAGAGGGAACTCAGTGCGCACCCGGCTGGAGAACTGCACCAGGCCGACACGTGTGCCCTCTGGGGACACATCAAGAAAGTCCACGATCTGGTTCACGAAGCGCTTCACCAGCTCGAAGTTCTGCGGACGCACACTCTTGGAGCCATCCACCAGGAGAACAAGATCCACGTGGCCCTCCCGGCACCCTGCCAAGGAGAAGGCTTGGATGTAGGGGTCAGGTCCTTGCCCAGGAGAGCCACATACCCATCCGGTTGTTCATCGCCTATATTGATTATAGGACACACACCAGTTATGTGTCCCGGTTGTGTGTGCCCAGCCACCATTATCATAATCACCGTCCTCTTGTTTAAGATAGCTTTGATGGTTACGTGCTTAGCACCAACCAAATGCTCTGTTAAAAACCTTTTTTCCCCCCAAGACAAGGTTTCTCTGTGTATCCTTGGCTGTCCTGGAACTCAGGGATCAAAGGCATGCGCCACCACCACCCGGTTCATTTTTTAAACAACCAACAGCAACAATACCACAATAGCTAGCTAGCATTCACTGATGGCATAGTGTGTACCTGTCACAATTCTAAGCATCATGTCAGTATTAACAACAATGGCAAAAACACCATTTATTGATGTTTACCCCATGTCCGACACTGAAACACTCGATTTATACATTTTCTCCTTGAGTGTTGTTTCTGTTTTCTATAAAATAGGTTCTGAAGGATAATGTGATTTGCTTCCAGTTAATAGTGGCAGAGCCTGAAGCAGATGCTGAGGCTCATAGCCAAGCTTTGGACAGAGTGCAGGGAATGTTATGAAAGAAGGGGGAGATAAAAAGACCTGGAGGGAACAGGAGTTCCACAAAGAGAGCAACAGAACCAAAAATTTTAGGCCCAGGGGTCTTTTCTGAGACTTATACTCCAACCAAGGACCATTCATGGAGACAATCTAGAACCCCTGCACAGATGTAGCCCGTAGCAGCTCAGTCTCCAAGTGGGTTCCCTAGTAATGGGAACAGAGACTGTCTCTGACATGAACTCAGTGGCTGACTCTTGATCGCCTCCCCCTGAGGGGTAGGGGATGAAGCCTTACCAGGCCACAGAGGAAGACAATGCAACCATTCCTGATGAGACCTGATAGACTAAGGTCAGATGGAAGGGGAGGAGGACCTCCCCTATCAGTGGACTAGGGCAGGGGCATGGGAAGAGAAGAGGGAGGGAGGGTGGGATTGTGAGGGAACAAGGGAGGGGGCTACAGCTGGAATACAAAGCGAATAAATTGTAATAAATTAAAAAATTTAAGTAAAAAAAAAAAAGAAATCACACACACACACACACACACACACACACACACACACACACACAATAGTAGCAGAGCCAAGATTGGAAGCCAGGATTATCTAAACCGCAAGCTGCTGGACCTGATCACTACAACACTGCCTCCTTTGTTCTGACCTGGGACTTCAGGAGGACCAGAAGGGGGTTCAACAACAAAGAAAATGATCCACGAGCTCAGGACAGAATGCAGCAAGGCAGGCAGGCCATCTGTCACAGCTAAGGAAAGTGCGATGTGAGAGGGCGGTGAGGAAGCCCAAGACAGGAATAAATTCTCCCCAGCCCCCTTGCAGCTGAAGAAAGCTGAATGAAGTTGGTGAGGTTCAATTTAGTCTTTGATTTGGATGAAATAACCGTGTGATTCAAAATGCATATACCAGAACCCTTTACCCCTTGTGAAATCATCTTTGGGAGGAAATTGGGATTAGATGCAGACATGAGGGTCAAGCCTTCGTGAATGCAATTAATGTCCTCACAAGCGTTTCTAGAGAGCCTGCTTCTTCTGTCCATGCATCAAGGGAGAATACAGAGAAAACTATCCCATGTAAGCCAGGAAGCAGGACCTCACCGGACACCGTGAACATGTAAGACACTGTTGTGGTTTAGATATGGTTTGTGCCCAAGAGTCCATGTGCTAGAAGCTTGGTCCCCAGTGTGACAGCGCTGAGAGATGACAGACCTGGGGGTCTCATGGTCTTTCCATCACCTGGCATAAGTAGCTTAATGGTGGAAGGATCTGTCTTAGCTCAGGACTTTGGAGATTTTGGTCCATGGCTGTCTGGCTCTGTTGCTTTTGGCCTGGGGTGGGCTGGACATCATGACAGCAGGGGAATGGTGGAGGAAAGCAACATCCTTCATTACAGAAGGAAACAGAAACATACAGGAAGGGCCAAAGCAAGGCAGTCTTCAAACAGGACGTGGTGGTGCATGCCTGTAATCTCAGCACTTGGGAGACTGAGACAGGAGGACTTCTGTGAGCCAACCTTTGGTACTTATTGAGCTCAAGGCCAGCCTGGAATCTAAACCTCACTCCTCAGGAGCTGGAAATGTAGCTCAGTTGGTAGGGTGGTTGCCTAGCATGTACCAAGCCCTGAGTTAGAGCCCTAAACCACAGAAAATGAAGCACTTGGAGGCAGTAGGATTAGGAAGCTCAAGGTCATTATCAGTTTCATAACTAGCAGATGGCCAGCCTGGGCTATGTAAAACCCTGTCTCAAAAGACACCCCCAAGTGGCCCATTTCTTCAATCGGGGGCCCATCCTCTACAAAGCCTAAAAATTTCCTCCCATGTTTAATATATCCTTGGGTTAATTAATTAATAATTAATGATCCAATCATTTCCCAGAAGCTCAGGCTATGAATTTTTGCATGAAAGACCAAGCTCTTGATGCATGAGCCTTGAGAGGGAGCACTTTATATCCAAACCATAACAGGCCTTCTGGGAGATAATCATGGAACACCAGCCTAGGAAGAAATTAATGCCTGTATCAAAAAACTGAGTGGGTCTCGAGAGACTAGATTAATGACCTTGCCAGTGAATGGTTACAAAAGATGGCCACCTCCTGTATCTGACCCCTCACACACACACTCTTCACTCTTAGGGGGCCCTCCCTTGTCCGGTGCCCACCACCAGTCCTGAGATGTTGAGATTGACTGTGTTCGGATCTCCAGATTGTGAGCCCGCATACGCTCTGTTCTTTACAAACCATTCAACTCTGAGCATTTTCCTTATAGCAACACACAACAGCACTATGACATAGAAATGCGAATGGACTAATACAGTCTTGAAGGACGACTGTGAATTTGCCAAGGCGAGAAGGGGCATATTAGAAAGTTGACAGCAGCGTGTTCAAAGGAATGGGAGCTGGGAAGGTCATGACCCATTCACAAAGGGACAGGCCAGTGTGACTAAAATGTTCAAATGTGGCAAGAGGTGGGCATAAGAGTCAGCTGAAGCCAGACTGAAATGAGCTTAAGTGATGGTTTCAAAAGTGACCGCAGCCCGTGACAAAAAAATGAGAAGAAGAATATATCATGGTGGGTTTCACATGCTTGCATGTAACTAAACTTCCGATTCGTGAAGCAATACTTACTTTCCTAAGTTCGGGAAACTATTTTCTCTTCTTTTCCTTAAATGCTGGTTGTAACCCACTAATTTGGTTTCATTACCCATTAATGTGGTTGTGACCAGCACTGGAAAACCTCAAGAGGGAGGCACTTGATCTTTATTTTGTAGACACTGGTGAGCCACAGAAGGATTTTGAGTGAAGGAGGAATGCGATCAGATACGGATTTTGAAATCAGTCTTGCAACAGAGTAGAACAAAAGCTGGTTGGAACAGAAGCTGGACGTAAGCATGTTCCCAACATACGCACATCCACACCAAGTCTTTGAGACTGTAACAGGGGCATGATGAGGTTCCGACTGCCGGCAATGGGCCAGGGGCAGACCCTCTGCCTATAACTCACGGTCACAGCTTCTGCCATCTGCCCGAAGTTGCCTCCCCTCAGGGCACAGGCATCGGAAGGAAAGGCCCTCACTCACACACTGGAACTCACAGCCATGGTCCACACCGTTGCAGAAGTCCCTGACTTAAAGGAGACACCAAGTAGGACCCAGGTTAGACCCCAGCAGCCAGAATCCCTTACTACTTCCCACAAACGTGAGAGACACCGCCTCACCCCGGCAGCTTCTCCCGTCAGGCAGCAGGTCGTGGCCCTCTCTGCAGCGGCACTGAGGCCCCACAAGGGTGCTCACACACTCATGCTGGCAGCTGTGGTTTCCAAAGCTGCAGTAGTCAATGGCTGAAGGAAGGAAGAAATGGCGAGGTGTCAGTTCTGAGCATAGCCATCAGGGGCCTCAGTCCAGAACGCTTACAGGAGGAGTGGGGATGAAGTGGGGAACGGGGGCTTACTTACCCCTGCAGCTCCTCCGGTCCTGCTGGAGTGCAAAGCCAGCTCGACAGCGACAGAAATAAGAGTCCACAGAGTTGACACAGAGGTGTTGGCAACCATGGGTTCCTTTAGCACAGAGGTCGATGGCTGGGAAGAGGATGAAGACAGCCTTTGCTTGGGGCTGGGTTTCACAGCCTAGCCACACAGCCCCCTGAGGAGCTCTTTAAGAAAACCCAGGCTGAGGATGCTCAGTCTCTAAAGCGTCTGCCCCACAAGCATGAGGACCTGAGTTTGAATCCCCCGCATCCCTATAAAAGCCAAGGGCGGTAGCCCTAGCCCTAGCCCTAGCCTTGAGATAGGCAGAGATGGGCAGATCTCCAAAGATGACAAGCTAACCACACCAGCCAGCTGGTGAGCTCCGGATCCAGTGAGAGTATTCCAGGAGATGGTGCCATAGGTAGCAAGACACTGTTGCCTGAGTTCAATCCCCAAAACCCATTTAAAGGCGGAGGAAGGGAACCAATTCCACGGAGTTGTCCCCTGACCGCCACATGAGACATGTGACAGGCACGCACCTGCACTCACGGGTCACACATGCACACCAATAATAACTAAAACTGCTAGATAACAGTAAGGTGGGGAGCTGTAGAGAAAGATGCTTGACCCTGACCTCTGGCCTCCACAGGTATTCGCATTCACATGCATTCACCATTTTGTTTTATTTTATTATTTTATTTTATTTTATTTTATTTTATTTGTTAAAAAATGTTAACACCATTCCTTGCCCCTTCAGTCACAGTTAATTAGTCTGGTGTGCTACCCAGACATCTGTAAGTTTAAGTCTTCTTTCTACAGGGTCAAGTGACTTTTCCAGTTCAAGCCTTGGACACATGCCAGAGCCAAAAGTCCCCCTGCTGAGCTGGGCATGTGGAGGAGAGCCCACACACACACACAAGCTCACAGACCAGCAGGAAAGTGTGAGGAAGGACAGCTTCACCGGAGTGAGCTTTTCCCTGTTGGCAACATGGGAGCAGGGCAGGGAAAAGCAGTTGCTGGTCACTGCTTCCTCCTGAGGAGGTGGGAGGGAGGCCTGCTGCTGCTGGATGGAGCATCTTGAAGGTTTGGATATGTGAGGATGGCCTAGACCTGAACTGAGGTCAGTTGTGGGAAACTGGGGATCCTGGAAAGGAGGCTGCCGCGGTGGAGAGGGGAAAAGAAATGTAACAGATAGGATGAAGTTGCGCAGCCCTGTGGCTAGAGATGGCAATGGGAAAGCCCCTGTAACGGGACAACTGAGGGTTTCCAGGAACAAGGGCGTATCTAATAGCAACTACAAGCAATTTTTTCCTTTGTATGTTTGACTTTTATGTTAATCAGATCCCTGCCCTTTTCTACCTTTAACAAAATGGACACATGTATGCATACATATGAAAGCATGGCCTCTGTGCACACGTGTACACCCAAACACTGTAACAAGGTGGCCATGTGGGACTGAAAAAAAGAAGGAAAGATCATGAGAAAAGAATGCAGCAAGGTGAGGCATGATGGGTGTATCAGTTATCTCAGTACTCTGAAGGTTAAGGCAGGAGGATCACGAATTTGAGGCCAGCATGAGACACACAGAAAGTGAAGAGGGGGGGAAGAAGGGAGGGGAGGGGAAAAGAGGGGAGGAAAAGAAAGGGGAGGAAAGAGCAAGGGAGAAGAGAGGAGGGGAGGAGAGAAAAGGGGAGGGGAAGGGAGAAGAGAGAAGAGAAAAGAAAAGCAGAAAAGACAAATAAGGAAGGGAAAGGGGGAAGAAAAGAGAGGGAGGGAAAGTGAACAGAAGACCAGAGCAAGCCATAGCTACCATAAAGGATTTTCCAGATATATATTAGGAAAAGACTTAATATCTACAGTAATCAAATGGGAGTGCACACCAAGACATTTTAAGTTTGACTTTTAAATGTTTATTTATTTATTTGTATATGTGTCTATGTGAGTATGCTGGTATGCACAACTGTTTATGCACTCAGACCAGAGAAAGTGCTGGATGTCTTCATCATCGCTCTCCACCTCTCCCTTTGAGGCAGGATCTCTCCCTCGACCTGGAGCTCCTATATCCTTGGCTCTGCTGGAAACCAGCAAGCCCCAGGGATCTTCCTGTCTCTGCCCACCTCAGAACCAGAGTTGCAGGCATTTGCCAGATGTCTGCCTGGCTCATGAGTGCTGGGATCCAGAGTCCAGTCTTCATGCTAGTATAGCAAGGGCTCTTAATCACTGAGGCATTTCTCCAGCCCTCCCCCTCAGCCTCTGCAAATTTCTAAACACAAGAAGACCCAGGTGGCACCTGAGTTGTTGGGATCATGTGACCTCAAACTAAAATGGTGGAGCTGGTTTCTGTGAATGTATAGACGGCTCCTAGCACGAGGTCTTGAATAACTAACACTCCGTGAGCGGTAGGAAACACAGTCACAGGAATGGAGATATAGATGCCTCAACAAGAAAAACCCAGTTACTTATCTAAGCTAGACATGACGCAGCATAGTCTTTCAGAAGAGTGAAAAAAAGAAAAAAGAAAAATATTTGCACAAAGAAGGCACCACAGGGCAGGCTGAAGTGCAGAGGTAAGAATGAAGACGGTCAAGGCTCCTAGTTCTTGTTCACCAAAGATCTGTGTGGCCTGGGGTTAGTATGCCCTGCTTCTGTGGCTTAGAAGGTAAACGGGGCACGCTTTTACCTCCCAAGAACTTGCCAAACCGTTGTTGTGATGCTGGGACGCCAAAGAAGGTTCGGGAATAGTGGGGGGGGGGGGGGGCTCACCCAGGCAGTTCTTGTTATCTGGTGCTAATTTGTAGCCAGAGTTGCAAGCGCAGTAGAATGTTCCCGGAGCGTTGACACACAGGTGTTGGCAGCCATGATCCAACTCAGCACACAGGTCCTGCCCTGAGGACACAGATGAGAGAATCAGCAGCCAGCAGATGGCGGGCAGAAGCATCCCAGAAGGAGGCTGACCGGTATGAGAGCGGTGGGGTCTGAAGCAAACACCACCCCAAGTACGGACTTAGGCAGAACACGGATTGGCTTCTTCAAGAGGGCCAGGCCAGGAGAGGGGGTTAGGGAAAGAATAGCAGTCCCCTTGACCAGTCTCAGCAAAGGGCTCTGGACTGCAGGGAAGGAGCCGGGGTAGAAGGGAACCACGCAAAGGTCTGGATCAAACAGGAAAAAGAAGAGGACTCACAGGAGATGAAGTAACTCAACGTGTGAATACAAAGCCAGCGCAGCAGCGCGCGCACTGTAAATCTCAGGGCTTGGGAGGTGATAACTCAGGAGGAGTTCAAGGTCAGCCTCACCTAAATCGACTCCAAATCTAGGTTACAAGAAATCTAGTCACACACACACACACACACACACACACACACACACACACACACACACAC